TTTTTAAATTGCTAAGCTGAAATTCAATTTGGTTAGGGGAGTGAGAAAATCTGAGTTCGAAATTCTTATTAAATTTCAATATTTCATTTACTGCGATGGCGCAGCCCATTCAAATCTGTAGTGCCACTCACTGTGTTCGAAGAACCAGTTAGGAAAATGCACTGTTATTTTAGCCCATTCTTGCACATTATCGATACTGCTCGTGGGCGACATTTTTGAGCTTTATTTTTTTTCTTTAGATGTGGTCCTAATACTGGTAATTTCTTAAGGGCAACATGAGCTCCAGCAAGCTGACCGCTCGGCAATGCAGCACTGATCAAAGCAACTAGAAAAGGTTCCAGCTGCATAGTTGGAGAACGATGTTCTGAACTGCGGATGATCAAAGTAGCAAAGTATAATGTCCTAAAAATAATCAGAGGGAAAAACTTTGGAAAAACGGTCTTTTTCTGGAGTTTTTTGGACTAACCAAAATGACAGTTCAGAACCTCTGGAATAGGCTAGTTTATGATGCCAATAGCCGATAACTTGAGAATGATGTGTCGTGATTCGCGAGGAAATCAGGAAACGTGAAAAACCCATCATTTTTGAAGCACACTTCCGGACAGATTCTGTCAGTTTACCCGGACTTTGATGAATTGTATTTCTAATGTGCGTGCTCTACTGGAAAGGGAATGAAATAAAGTGGAATCGAGGACTGACCGAATTGAACTGGAGACTGGCACAGTGGATCGGTTGATTCAAGTTTTCTGCTGGTGCACTTTCTGCGATCCGTCATGCTTCCCTGAACCAATTTCATTTGCTGCTTTTCTCATCATTTTCATGTTCATTTCCGTTCGCAGCCGGAATGCTTCCCATTTTACCGCCCAATTCCTGTCCTTAAATTAGTAGGAGGTCAAAGGTCAATGACGGGAGACATTTCTTGCAAATTCGTGTCGGACAGTAATTCATAATAAACTCCGGCAAGTGTTACAGGAAACACGTCGGACGCGTCGATCGACAGACGGAAGTGGCAGTTTATCGTCGCCTGCAGTGTCTCCTGGCCCGCGAGTTTCATTCGACCAGTCGGCTATATCTACAGGTTGCTTTCCATCGCTATTTGATTGGTTATTTCGAATTTGCGGACTGTATGGACAGCGGTCCAGGAAGCCCGTAGCGCAAGCAAAATCATTCAGTGAGCATGCGATGAATTTTTGGCTTTTTTTCCGAAACGTTTGCCGTGTTTTTTGATTTTTATGAAAACACTAATTGCTAAACAAATGATTCCATTAATATGCTTGGTCGAAAAGAGACCCGCATCTAGAAAGAGAAAATCCAAGCCGGACCGTCCTGGCCCCTGATCAAGGTTACTCCTATTGTTGTGAAAACTTTACGAGAAAATTGAAAGGATAAGGAAGCGACTTAGCTATAAAATCAAAGCAGCTGTTCGGTCTTAAGTACGAAGTCTAGCCTCACAGAATTTGAGCGCACCACTATTAACAATAAATCGTTTTCTTTATTTTTGGACTGGGTCAAACTGCGGTAAAAACAAATGATTGGCCAATGCAGGGGCTGCCCGTGTGAAGATGCGTTTTTATGCATTTTTGCATACATGCAAATGCGAAAACGCATATTGCGACAACCCCGGTGTGTGTGTGTGTGTGT